AGCTAGGAGAAGGCAGTGTGGCTAGTATGCCTGAGGGAGAAAACTGTGTGAAGGGCCAAAGAGAGGGCTCAGCATTTAACAGTGCTTTCTGCTCTTGCAGAGGACCTGACTTTAGTTCCCAGCAGCGACATAGGACAAATCATAACCGCCCAGCTCTGAGGTATCTGACCCCTCTTCTAACCTTCTAACCAAGAGTACATGTACACTCATTGCATACAAATATACACATAAATAAAAATACATCTTAAAGAAATAAAGTATGAGAAGTAGCGAAGACTACTTCTATAGGCTGCACAAAATCCGAAGAAAAATTAAAAACTCTTAAAAGGAAGAGTACAGGGCATGCTTTTCCTACACAAGGCCACAGATTCAATTGCAGAACCATCAAAACAAATTCTCCCTGCAGAACTTATTTAGAGGGCAGGCAGGCTGAAGGGAAGATGCAATCAGATTTGCAATTTGACTTTAGCTTCTCAAATATAGATGGATCAGATAGAAAACAAATCTCATTTCTTATTGGAGGCCAGAGAGACACCACAGCAGGTAAATATGCTTGCCGCTAAGCCCAGCCAGCACAATCTGTGGATCACACCTGGTGGAAGGAGAAAGCCAACTCCTGAAAGCTGTCCTTCTCTGACCTCTCCACTCCTGCCGCGACACAACACGCACACATGCACAAAGACATGCATGTGTGCGAACGAATAAAAGCTCGAAAAGTTTTATTTAAACTCTTACTAAGACACAACAGGGGTTTGGACAAGGGCTATGACCATGTTGAGTGTGACAGACAGCCTAACGCTGATAAATTCAAGAGATACTTAAGAGAAGGAAATGATACATTTTATACAAGGGATAAAGTGCAACAAAGTGTCCAAGATTTTGATTAGCATGACTAGAGAAAGACATACTTGCTATTCAGGAGGGAGAAGTCCTCAAGTAGCTATAAAGCAGTTGAAACATTTCAAAAAGTTTAACCCCACCCTTTGAGTATATGCTAATCCAGTGTAATCTCCTATTTGCTTACAGAATAGGGTTCCACCAGACATGAGTATAGATCAACAGTACAGTGCCTGGCTTAATACAAGGCTCTGGGTTCTATCCCCCTTTCCATAAAAATTTAAGAAAACAAACAGAAAAAAAGAAAAAAAAAAAAAAAGAACCAACTAACCTAAGCAATTTTCTTTCTCTTTTTTAAAATCCTTTTCCTTTTTTTTGGAACATGGTCTCACTATATATCCCTGGCTGGTCTAGAAGTCATTATGTAAACCAAGCTGGCCTTGACCTCAGAGATTCTCAACCACTGCCTTCCCAGAGCCACCAAAACTGGCCTTAAGAATACCTTTTATAGCCAGGTGGTGGTGGCATATGTCTTTAATCCCAATACTCAGGAGCCAGAGTTTGAGGCTAGCCTGGTCTACAGAGCAAGTTCCAGGACAGTCAGGGATACACAGAGAAGCCCTTTCTCAAAACAAACAAACAACAAAAAAAGAAGAGGAGGAGGAGGAGGAGAACAGGACGACAAAGAAAAAGATCTTTTAATATTTTATGCCCAGAACAGTGGAGCAAGCCTATAATCCCAACACTCAAGAATACTGATGTGGCCAAGCATGGAGGTGCATGCCTTTAATCCCAGCACATGGAGGCATAGGTAGGTGGATCTCTAGGAGATTAAAGCCAGCCTGCTCTACTCAGCAAGTTCCATACCAGGCAGGGTTACACAGGGAGACACTGACTCCAAATAAACAAATAAATTTGAAAACATCTTTTATTGAACTAAAATAAGAGACTATTATATTTGTATTTCAACATTTTGGAATAACTAGAAGATTAGCATTGGAAACCAGGCATGATTGAGGGTTTGTTTTTGTTTTCTTGGACTTTTTTTCCCTAGGTCATAGCTATTTAATTTTCTATTTTGTTCTCTTATGAGATAAAGAAAGGAACCTCCAGTTACAATACTAATTCCATAGATTGCTTTTTTTTTTTTTCCATTTTCTTTTTTGGTTTTTCAAGATAGGGTTTCTCTGTGTAGCCCTGGCTGTCCTGGAACTTGCTTTGTAGACCAGGCTGGCTTTGAAGTCACAGAGATCCACCTACCTCTGCCTCGGGAGTGCTGGGATTAAAGGTGTGTGCCACCATGCCCTGCCACATCAGAGTATTCTTGTGCGCCACCAGCTCTGGCAAGTTTACATTGATTCTGGGAATTGCATGTTCCTATCCAATACTTTAAGTAACTGCTTTCCTTAATTTTATATTTTAAACTTTCTTTCTAATGCCATTTTCATAAAACACTGATTTTTTTTTCTTTTTTTTTTTTAAAGACAGGATCTCCCTATGTAGCCTTGGCTAACCTGGGGCTCACCATAGAGATCACGAAGGCCTCAAGCTCACAGAATGCACTTGCCTCTCCCTCCCCAGTGCTGGTTTCAGGGTCTGTGCCACCAGGCCCAGCAGGGTCTCAGACAGATCTCGCTGGCCTCAAAATCACCACAAAGAGGTTAGAGCATTCAATCTTCCAGAGGACCCAAGTTCAGTTCCCAGCCCCTACATCAAGCAGCTGACAACTGTCTATAACTCCAGCTCCAGGAAATTCAAGGTCCTCTTCCGAACCGTGTGGGCAACTGCACTCCTGTGTATACGCAAACACAAAATTAGGAGTGAGAATAAAATATTCAAAACAGTTCCCTAAAAGCAGGCCTCAGGCTCCTGACCTTGCCGCCTCCTGTCAAGGGCCGGCTTTCAGGTATTTGAGCACACCACCACACCTTGCTGAAGCCCCAACACTTCAGTAAAACACATCTCATAAAACTAAAACCTGACAGGAAGAGAGCAGGTCACACAGAGAACTCGTGTTAAAAAGCCCGCTGTGGCCCTGTCAGCTCTCCGCCTGCTCTCCCCCTCTTCAGCTATAGGGCCGCGCTTCTCCTCTGCGCTGGCGCTACTTCACGGATGGAGGCTTGTCTCACTCTAAAGCCACACATACAGCCAATCAAACCGTGAGCAACTAAAAACTAAAAACGCTGCTCTCTGGATTTCTGTTCTTTTGTTTTCCATGACAGGGTGTCTCTGCGTAGCCTTGGCTATCCTAGAACTGGCTCTCTAGACCAGGCTGGCCTCCAATTCCTAGAGATCCGACTGCCTCTGCCTCCCAAGCACCAGGATTAAAGGTGTCTCTGGGTTCCTTAAAAATAAAATGCTTCTACAGTGAAGAGGATTTTCTTTCTTTTTCTTTTTATTTTTTTTAAATCAAGAATGAAAAGAAAAATAACAAAAATGTGTATTGGATTTCCAGCTTTTCTTGACTGCACTGTGGCTACACAATGTGTTTAACCCTCATTATTCGCACATACACAGCTGTTAGGAAGATGACACACAAAGTCCGGGCCTACAGTCTTGTGCATGAAAGAGAATGGTACATAAAAACTGCTCAGAACGCTGAGGATATGGTGCTGGAGAAGAAAGGAGTCAGGCGTGGGGTGCACAATCACGGTAGCATTTTGAAAACATCCAGTTCCAATTACCAAGATGTTACCACTGTTTGTAAAAAAAAAAAAAAGTCCCCCCCCCTTTTTTTAACTCATGCTAAGTTTATCTAAAGGCATTAAGAGTATGGTCTGAGGCCAGATACAAACATCATTTCCACAAAAAAGAAAAGTCAAGTCAAGAGCTTTTAAAAAATCAGGTCTTAAGGCTGGAGACATGGCTCTGGGGTTAACAGCACTAGCTGGTCTTCCAGAGGACCTAGGTTCAATTCCCGGCTCACACATGGTAGCTCACAACTCCAAATGACCTGACACCCTCACACAGACATACATGCAGGTAAAACACCACCGCACATAAAATGAAAATAAATAAATCGGTAAAAAAAAAAAAAAAAAAAAAAAAAAACAAAGCAGGTCTTAAATAAGCCCGTTAAACCAATGTTTGACAAAAGAGACTATTCCCACTACAGACTGTGCTGGCAAATGTGGGCCTGTGAACAAAGGCTAGAGAGCATGAAACGGGTTATCACCAGCAGCCTCACTTTTTCCTCTTTCATTTACTTTATTTATTTATTTATTTAAGGTACAGCCAGACTACGGCCATATCTGAACACAACTATGTTTGGGTCTGAGCAGTGCCAAGCAAGAGCCCACCCCCCATAGGTTCCCATCTCATCTAGCTGACTTTCCTATCTTCCTCAGAAGCAGTCTGTGCTTCCACAGCTGGAAAATGGGGGTTGGAAAGTTATAAGCACACCAGGCTTCTCCCTTACCGAAACCCCTCAACTGAGAACGCAAGCCACTACTTTCTTGGAATTTAAGGTCATGAGCTTTAAAGAGGGACAATGGAACTTCAATGTGGGCAACAGAAAGATGGAGATGAAGTGGGGGCAGGGAAGTGGGGGCGAGGCAAAGAGCCCAGCCTGGGAAAGCAGAATACGAAGGTCAACGCCAGGGACTTGGGAAGCTAGAAAAGGGGTAGATCTTTCACAATCTGTCCAAGTAGGCCCGTCACGGGAGTCTGAAAGCCTGAAGGGTTCCTTTGAGAATCTGGGGCACCCATTTACTTGCGCTACCTCCCCCCTCCTTGGAAACTGAGATAACCACCTAAGAATCCTCCCCCAAATGGCTCTCTGTGCCCTTGAAAACAAGTGACCCTCAAGAAATAAAAAATAAAAAAATAAACGCAAAAGCTTTATAAGAGAGAGAGTAGAAGGGTCGGGGCAAGGTGTTCTGCAGCCACCCAGAGGGGCGCCTACCCCAGTCCGGGGAACTTTAATATTCATTGGAATGGAGCGGCACGGGGGGAGACCCCCGGAAACCTCGGGGCATATGCAACTCGGCGCGAGGGGTCCCGCGGCTCCCGGGATGGGCGGGCGGCGGCCTGGGGCGCGGCCTCGGGCCGGGGAGGCCAGCCCGCAGGCCTGGAAGCGGAGCAGGAGCGCCGCCGGCCCGGGGTGCGGAGCCCGGCCTAGGCCTCGGCGGCTCGGACACACCCACCGCCGCGGCCGCGCTTACCTGCTCCTCCTCGGGGGTCAGCTCCGGCGCCATGTCCGGCCGGGGCGCGGTCGCCGGCTCCATCCCGCCGCCGGGCGGACAGGGCTGGTCGGCGAGCGCCGGAGCCCGTGCACTCGAACTCCGCTTCGCGGCCCGGCGCCTCAGCAGCCCTCGGCCGGCTCGCGCATGGCGGGACGGAGCGGGCGGCCCGGCGCCCGCCGCGGCTGCCGACGCCGCTCCTGCCGGCCGCGGAGAGCGGGCTGCCGCTCCCCCGCGGGGAGGAAATGCCTCTGACTTGCTCCGCTCCTTTCCTCACACCACCCCTCCTCTCCTGAGGGGGCGAGCGTGCGGGCGAGCCACCACCAGCCGCCGAGCTCTGCTTTTTGTCTGGCCGTTCGCCCCTTACAGAAGCCGACAACTCCTCAAGCCCCCGCGGAGGCCGCCGGCCCCGCGGCGTCTTCCCCCCGGAGCGGCGCTCGCCGGCGCCCCGAGCCGCCCAGCCCAGGCGTCCGCGGGGATGCGGGCCCTGGCGACCTGCGCGGCGGCCTCGCGGCCCAGTTCCTCAAAAGCCGCGGCGGCGAGAGGGAGGGCGGGCGCGAGCGAGCGAGGGAAAGGCGTCCTCCTCCCGGCTCACGGCCAGCGCTGCGGCCTGCGCCGCGTCCGCCGGAGCCCCCCGCGGCTCCATTGAGAAACTGAGCATCTCATTCACAAACAGGCGCCGGGCAGGGCCGGCCGAACGGAGGCGCGCCCGTCCGGGAGGGGGAGACAGAGAGGCGCTGGGAGGAGGGGAGGCCGCGCGGAGGGGGAGGGGCTGCGGGGGACAGGGCGAGACCAGACTGTGTGGTAAAAGGGTCCAAACTATGCGATGGCCGGCACTCTTCCCGGCATCCACAGGCGGCTACCACCAATTGTGATAACCCACACCTCAGTGTAAGAGTTGCTCGCCTGCGAGGTCCAAGGTGATCAGATGCCTAGCATCTGACAGATAAGCAAGGGGCCCATTTTGCTCGATGTTTCCTGTAGTCAGTGCAGCATCACTGTAGCTAGCTTTAACTGCGCTCAAGAAAAAGACATCCCATATCGGAATTCATTCAGGAAGCCCACAGCCTTTGTAACTCGGTTTTACTCTGCGGCAAGCACAGCGGTGTTTGTTTCTCCCAGGATAGGGACATTGTGAAGCTAGAGCTGGGCCTGCTGTGACTTTTTTTCATCACTTTAGACCAAAGATTTCAGTAGTATTCCAGAAGAATAGATATATTTAAAAAAAAAAAAAAAAAAAAAGGAGCACCGTAAGTACTCCCCCAGGACTGAAGCCCAGAAACAACCAGGGGAAGGGTCTTCAGAAAAGAAAGTGTAGGACTATTTACAAACAGGATGGAGTCTGACCGCCCTCTTAACTCAGGCTGGTTTTGACCTATTGGGTTCAAGTAATTTAGATTCAGTAACTGGGACTTCATCCCTTTGCAACAACTGTAGGACTAGAAAAGTCCCAACCTCATTATATACATATATATGTAAGTACCTAAATAAATATATATATTACATCCATCCATGTTTTGGTTTGGTTCTTGAGACAGGGTTTTCTAGGTACCGACACAGAACTGGCTGACACAGAACAAGCTATGTAGACCAGTCTGCCCTCTACCTCAGAGATCCACCTGTCTCCAGAGTGCTGAGATAAAGGTGTGCCACCACACCTAATCTTAAATAGTTTTAATTGAAATTTTTTTCTCACAATATATTCTTAACCCTATTTGTGCACTACTGCAGTAGCAGCTTCAGGTCACCCCTGCTAAGTTTTCCTTTTGGGGGGTGGGGGGTGTTGTTATTGAGAAACAATCTCTCTATGTAGCCCTGTCTGTCCTGGAACTGGCTATGTAGACTAGGCTGGCCTTGAACTCACAGGCCTCTTGAGTGATGGGATTAAAGGCATGCCCATCCCTCCTGGCCACCTCAGGTAGGTTAGTTTGTCTTTGCCCCCCCCCCCCCCCTCGTTAAGATGGACTCTAGGTTGAACTCAGGAATCCCCTCTGGAATTGGTTTCAGCATGGAAACAGGAAGACAGTCTATAACAAGTATATTTACATGCCAGGCACTGCACTGGAGTTAAAATCAGGCAGTATAAGATTATGGAAGACATATCAGGAAGTAAAATTCAAGGGCTGGAGTGTTGGGTCAGGGGTCAAGAATAATGGCTAACCTTGCAGAAGCTCTGGGTTCAATTCTAGTGCCCACATGGTAGCCGACCACCTTAGGGAACTCCAGGCCCAGGGATCCAGATCCAACACCCTCTCCAGGCCTCTGGAGGAGCATGTGATACACAGGCACACATGCAGGGAAAACAAACAACACAAAAACAACACCCACACACAGAAAAAATAATAAAGATAAAACTTTCTTTTTTAAAAAATATAATTTATTTAATCTTTATTTTATGTGCATTAGTGTGAAGGTGTCAGATCCCTTGGCGTCACAGGCAGTTGTGAGCTGCCATATGGGTGCTGGGAATTGAACCTGGGTCCACTCTTAACCACTGAGCCATCTCTCCAGCCCCGACAAAACTTTCTTTAAACAAAGTAAATAAACTGTAATTAATAAAAAAATAAATTTTAAAAAAGGAAAAAAAATATTTAAAATGCAAGACTCAAAAGTATGCATAACATGTCATTAATATAAAAAAGTATCCACTTGTAAGCTCATTTATACATAGAAAAGCTTTGGAAGAACACACAAGAAAGGTCACTGGCTTTCTCTTCAGGGGGAAAACTTGGGAGTCTAGAAAGCAGAGCTGAAAGGAAGACTTTAATACACTTTGCTTACTTTTTTACTAATGTATAATAGACACAGAAAATCAAAATATAAATGTACAGCCACATGAGTTTGTATAAGCTGAATGAAACCAACAAATCAAGAAATAGAACTTGGAGCTGGAGAGGATGACTCAGCAATTAAGTGCACTTGCTACTCTTCCAGAGAACTAGTTCCCAGCACCCACAACAGGCAGCTCACAACCATCTGTGATTCCAGTTCTAGGATATCCAACACTCTCTCCTAGCCTATTCCAGCACTGGTGCATGCCTTTTTGTTGTTTTTGAGACGTTTTCCTCTCTGTGACAGTGTGACAATCCTGGCTATCCTGGAACTGGATTTGTAGTCCAACCTGGCCTCAAACTCAGAGCTCCGCCTGCCTCTGCCTCCTGAGAGCCAGGATCAAAGGTGTACACCACCACAGGAGTGAGCCACACCTCTGACCCCAGCACCTGGGGAAGCAGGAGGATCTCAGATTTCAAGGCCTGCTTAGTCTACAGAATAGGTTCCTGGCCAGCCAGGGCTACACTCAGAAAACCTACCTCAAAAAGGAAACAAACTAAATAAATAAAGTCTTTCAAAGAGAAAGAGGATTTTCCCGTCTTAACTACGGTGGTTTGAATAGGAATGGCGCCCACTGACTTCTGGGTTTGAACACTTGGCCCATAGGGTGTGGCTGTGCTGCAGTGGGTGTGGCCTTGTTAGAAGTGTGTCTCTGTGGGGCAGGTTTTGAAGTTTCTTAACAAGCTCAAGCTAGATTCAGTATGGCACACAGTATCCTGCTGCTGCCTTCAGATCAACAGGTAGAATTCTCAGCTTCTCCAGTACCATATCAGCCAGCATACTTCCAAAGGTGATTATAATGGATTAAACTTCTGAAACTATAAGTCAGCCCCAATTAAATGTTTTCCTTTCTTTTCTAAGAGTTGCCATGGTCATGATGTCTCTTCACAGCAAAAGAAACCCTACGACATTAACAAAGTCCTATTTTGTCCCCTCCCAGTCTCTTCTGCTTTGAAGGGTAACCACAATCTTGGTTCAGCATAGCTTTACTTGTGTATGCTTAAATAGTGATTAAGTCTGGGCATTGGTGGTACACACACTTCATCTCAGCAGTCAGGAGGTAGAGGGAGTCAGGTGGATCTCTAAGCTTGAGTCCAACCTGGTCTATATAACCCAGGGCAGCCAGCGTTACAGAGTGAAACCCTGTCTCCAAAATATAAATAAATGAAAGTCATTTAAACAAATACATGTTTTCTCCCTAATAAATTGTCTAGAACTAAATTGAGTTGGGAGGAGACAACACAACAAAACAGAATAATGACATATAGGATGCAGGCAATCAAAACCACAGACTGGTGGAGGCCCCCACTCTTGTGTGCCAATGTGAGGTAAAGAAATAATCCTCCCAAATTGCCAGAGTGTGGCTAGAACTTTGAGCTCACTTTGAGAGTGACAAGTCAGGCAAAAAGCAGACTACAGTGCTGAGACAGATTAAACACAGATTTAGAATTTAGGGATTTGGTGTTGTGGTCCTCCAGTCAAATGTTCTGCAGGTCTAATTGGGTATGACAGGTTTCATTGCAAGCCACTATGTGACCTAAGGACAATCCCTATCAAAGTGGTGGGTCGTTTGTTCGTTTTTGTTTTAAACGATTTGTTATCCTACAGAGTCCTCTTTAAATAATTTATAATCTAAATATTAACAGTAATAGTAAATATTTGTATCAATATCATAAAGCTACAATGGTTTCCTGCTTTAACTATTCCTAAAGTACTTTTTCTTTTTCTTTGTTGTTTTGAGTCAGGGTTTGTCTGTGTAGCCCTGGCTGTTCTGGAACTCTATAGACCAGGCTGAACTAGAACTCAGGAGATCTTCTTGCCTCTGTCTCCTGTGTGCTGGGATTAAAGGCATGGTCATCTAGGCCAGGTTCTGTAATTTTTGCTCTTGTTTTTTGTTTTTGTTTGTTTGTTTGTTTGTTTTTGAGAAAGGATTTCTCTGTGTAGTCTTGGCTGCCTTAGACTTTGTAGACCGGGCTGTCCTTGAAGTCACAGTAATCTGCCTGCCTCTCCCTCCTCAGTGCTGGGATTAGAAGTATCTACCAACAGAAGCTTAGCCTAGCTTTTGGTTTTGATTTTTTGAGATAGGGTCTCATATAGCTCAGACTGACCTCAGACTTACTTTGTAACCATGGATGCAAAACTATCCTTAAACCCCTGGTTGTCCAGATGCTGGGATTAAAGGCATGCTCTACCACATCCAGCATTCTAAGGGTCTTCTGTCCATCTGTCCACCGTGATAGAAGCCAGAGAATATACAGATCTATAAAACAGAGTGTCCCTGACATTTAATATAGCAGTGAATAAATGAGGCAGGTTGTCAGTGGATGACTGATGAAGTAGTAGCCCTGCTAGTATTTTTTTTCAATAATATTGCATAAGCCAATGAAGAAATGGAAATGGCAGTATGCTACAAATCACTAGAAACAGGACACTGTTTTCACCTACTACCTATACCACTTTTACACTTCTTTTGCTTAGGGATCCTAGGGCATCTGCAGTCAGCAAACTAAATAGCCAGCCACAAAGTTCCTACGGAGATGAACCCATGCTTTATTCCTCAGGCTACCAAGGAAAATAACAGAGGCTGCAACTTAATTGAATGAGAAAAAGCTTGGAGGTCTTCCAGAGGTGCAAATGTTGGGGGAGGGGCATACAGTTTAAAAAAGGAACACTGCAGAATTGTTGTCAATGGATCACCAGCTCAATGGGACAATGTTTGAAAATGAACGAAACACAAAAACCGTGTGCAAAGCGCCTGTTTGGCTAGCTTTGCTCTCGGAAAAAAATCTTAGAAGAACCAGAGTACAAATGCTTATCTGGCTGGGGTTTGTTTACTTGGTTTTTTGTTGTCCCCCACACACCCCGGAGGGGACAGTGGGGGGGGGGGGTAGTAATTTGTTTTGACATAAGGCCTCACTGTGTAGCCCAGGCTGCTGTAATTCAAGGCAATTCTTCCTTGGCTAGCTAAGTGCTAGGACTGCAGGCATAGGTTGGCATGTACTACTAGGTTTGTCTTGAACTATAGTTAGTCCTTTTCTGCTTTGTCTGGTTTTTTTGTTTTGTTGTTGCTGGCCTTGTGAGCTGTGTCTCCTGTAGTTCAGACCTCCCTATTTAGCTGAGAATGACCCTGAACTCCTGATCTTCTAGCGTCTACCTCTCTGGTGCTGGAATGACATGTGTGTTACCACATCTGGTTAACTACGGTGTTTTTGGTTGGTTTTAGATTTTTTATTGTATTTATTTATTTAACGTGTGTGTGTGTCACACATGCCTGTGCATAGCATGCATGTGAAAGGACCAGGAGCCAGTTCTCGCAGACAACATGGGTTCTAGGGATAGAACTCAGATGGTCAGGTTTAATGGCAGTCACTTATCTCACTGGCCCCAAACTACCATCTTTTTTGAGACTGGGTCTCACTATGTAGAAATTAAAACATTAAATAAATTGTATTCATCTAATCTCACCATAATACTATAAGAAAGGTAAATCATAAGTTTCATTTTATACAAGATAAAAATGGTTGTGTATGTATAGTCACACAAATATGGCTACACATATACATACATGCATGTATATAGAAGACCCACATTACCAATATAGAGCCTCCTATCTAAAACATAAGATGGAGACCCACTGAGGAAAATAACCAGCATTGACATCTGCCCTCCATAGTGATGCACACCTGCACACACAAAGTCACCAGGGTCAAACGTGCTGGTGCACATCTGTAGACCCAATACGAGATGAACCCAAGTTTCACTCTTATCCCCCTGCACCAAAAAAGAAGGGTAGATAGGTATAGGCATGTTACTGTGCACGTATAAAGATTCACATGCTGATCTCTGCGCCCCCATATCTGGTTGCAATTCTTCTTCTGAAAATCTCCTTTCTCAGTGCTGTGTAAATATTGCTCCCCAATTGTTCCCTGATATGTCAATAAAGAAACTTAAGAGCCAATGACTGAGCAGGGCAGTGGTTGTGGATGCCTTTAATCCCAGCACTTGGGAGGCAGAGGCCAGCTTAGTCTACAAGGAGAGTCCAGGTAACCAGGGCTACACAGAGAAACCCTGTCTTGAAGAAACAAACACATGACTGACCAGGGGAGAGAATAGGGCTGGATTTCCTGCCAGCTAGGAGAAGAGAGAAAGGTCCAGGAGATATCATGAGTAAGCAACTGGAGCAGAAAAAGCCAAAAAATGCAAGTATCTCAGGCATTTCAGCTGGGAGATAGCCAGGTTACTTTAGAAGGTTAAAATAGATTAATACTACTCTGTTGTTTATGCACTAAAGCTTTTAAAATGAATATAAAAGTCCAGTCTCAATTATTTGGTTGCTAGCCAGGTTAAGAGAAAAACTACAATACAATTTTAAAATTAGCACTAACAGAGGGAAAGCTGGGTATATACCTCAGTGGCTAGAATGCTTGTCCAGCATGTACAGTGGCCCAGAGTTAAATTTTGATCTCCACTACTGCATGAAACCTTGTAGCAGAGTTCAGGAGTGAAGGTAGGAGGACCAAAAAATTCCAAGGTTAAGACTGGCATAGTGGTATATGCATTGAATCTCAGAAGAGGCAGGTGGATCTCTGCAAGTTCAAGACCAGCCTGGTCTATATAGTGAGCTCCAAGACAGCCAGGGCTACATAAAGATCCTGTCTCAAAGAAACAATAACAAAAAGATCATATCTGCTTTTAAAATTTCCAGCATTTCAACTCATTTTTTATTACATACATATATTTGGGAAGGGAGGTTCTATGTGTCATTGGCACACATATGGAAGTCAGAGAACACTATAGGAGCTGGTTCTCTGCTACCATGTGAGGTCTGGGGATGGAACGCAAGTCCTTAGGCTTTGGCGGCCATCACATCAGCTCTTGAATCATTTCTTTATCAGTAAAGAAATTTGTACATAGGAAGATTATTTCTTTTCAAAATATGTGGGATCTTTTGTTTTAAAGATTTATTTTCCTTAGCCAGGCATGGTGGTGCATACCTTTAATCCCAGCACTCAGGGAGGTAGAGGCACTGTGAGTTGGAGGCCTGGTCTACAATGTGAGTCCAGGACAGCCAAGGCTACACAGAGAAACCCTGTCTTGAAAAACCAAAAAAAATAAAAAATTAAGATTTACTTTTATTATTTTTAAAAATTATGTGTATGTATGTATGTCTCTGTGGAATAGTACATGTGAGTCCAGAAGAGGGTGGTAGATCACCTGGAGTTTCAGGTGATTCCCAACTTGAGTGCTGAGAACCAAATTCCAATCCTCTGTAAGAGCAATGCATATACTCTTAGTTGCTAAGCCATGTCTTTAGCAACTTATTTATTTATGCGTATATGTGTACGGCTGTCTATCTGTATGTACACCTTGTGCATGCAGGTGGCTGTGGAGGACACAAGAGAATACATAATCCCCTGGAACTGGGGTTGTAGGTATCTATGAGCGGTCATGTAAGTGCTGGGAATCAAACTCCGTGCTCTTAATTACTCAACTATCTCTGCACCACCACTACCCCCGGTTATCCTGAATTTCTTGATTGTGATACAGGGTCTCTTGTAGTACAGGCTGACTATGAATACCAAATTTTACTGCCTTTATTTTCCAGAAGCTGGGATAACAGGCATGCATTCCACCATAGGCCAAGGCTCTCTCTTTTTCCCACAATATTCTTATTATTTCACGTCATGAACCCTGAGCAACCTTACCTCCCTGTCCTCCTAGGGTCGCCCCACCACCCTTAAGACCTCCCTCCCCAAAAAAAGGGGAAGAAAAAAAAAACACACACACACACACACCTAATTTGTGTGGTCCATATACTCAGTGGGGCATGGTCAAACTCCCAATGTCAGGCCCCTTGAAGAAAACTGAGTCCTTCCCCACCTGCACCCACATCAGAAGCCAGCGATTCTGAAGAGCTACACTTCACCATCCTTATCACAGTTTTAAGAGTTCTCTTTGCTGGGTGGGGTGGCACACGCCTGCATCCCAGCATTCAGAGAAGCAGAGGGCAGCCTGGTCTACAAAGCAAGTCCAGAACAGATAGGGCTGGACAGAGAAACCCTGTGTCAGAAAAAAAAATCTTCAATGGCTTTCTGACTAGGCAATTTCTTTTTTGTAGAAACGGTGGGTGGGATAGGGATAGGGATAGGGATGTCACAGAAGCTTTCTATGTCCCTTGTAGCATTTGCTTTTAAACTCTATTTTATTGGGGTTCCTTAAAGCCTCTCCCTTCCAACACCCAGCCCTAGATAAGAGAGAGAAGGTTTGGGGAAAGAGAGCACAGACCCCTTTAATTCTCCTGGCTGTTTAGGGTCAATGGGTTCTATCTCTGTCAACAGCAGACCCAGCAAGCAGTATCCTCAAAGCCACTACGTTGAAACATTTCTCTTTGTCTGTCTCCAAGCCACCACACTGTCTCTGGTCCCTCCAAACTGCCACTTGCCACACACCATCACTGTATGCCACACCTTCTCTTTCTGGGCTCTCGTATTTATATCCTGAGAGCCCAGACCACACCCCTCTCCATTACCCAGTGGCAATGACCAATCGACAAACTAAAGCCCAAACTAAAATCCCACACTTGGGATTAAAACAAAAACATATTCACATCACATAACTGAGTTTTTAAAGAAACCAAAACTTCTATTACAGTCCCTCTTTCTCAACTGTGAGTCTGTAGTCATCAATACCTTTGCAAAAGTAGCTTGCCCTTTAATTATCGAGAGCATGGACCATGGACATCCAAATGGTCCTGGCATCAGCACGTGCCACAGACTTCAGCATGAAGAAGTAATCCTTCCAGGTTTATTTTGGGTTTTACTAAGTTATGATTATTTTTGAGATAGTGTCTCACACCAAAGCCTAGGTTAGGCTCAAACTCACGGCAATCCTCCTGTCTCAGCTTTGTAAGTACAAGGATTATAAACATGAGCCACATACCCAAAGCCCAGGCTTATTTTTAAACCAAGCCTTGCCAAGTTGCTTTAACACTGACATGCATAGTCCCCACATTGATAAAGGTGGTTGCTAAAAGAAGACTGAACAATTCAGAAGACTAGGAATCAAGTCAGGCAGGGCCTTATGGCAAAGGCATACAATTCAGCTACTTGGAAGGCTGAGACTGGATTGAAAATTCAAGACTTTGCCTGGACTGAAAAGCAAGTTCAAGGCCAGCCTGCAGAAACTAAATGTCTAATGTTTCTACATATCCCTTAACATAAGTAACACTACTATATTCATATTGCAAATCTGGCCTAGATACTGAGAAGAGCTTATATAGACAAAAGCCTAAATCTATAGCCAGTGGGCTCTATCACTGATTGAGAGTAAAAGCTTTCCCCTGTCTGATCACAGCAGTTTATGCCTGTAAAAGCAGACACTTCGGGAGTTCCCCTAGATGTGCTGATCTGTGCAACCAGGCTCGGCTTAACCACTACTGGCCAGATCTGTCCTCAAAGCTAATTAACCCAAAGGGACCATTACATGTCACATTGAAAATTCTTCCACAGGACACTCTTTCTGTTGAAGAGAATGATGTCAGTTTTCCTATAAGAGAAGTCCTAGTAACGTAGAAAGCAGTATGGGCTGCAGGCTGAGACCACAAGACCTGGAATATACTTTCTGAAGACAGTAAAAACTAACTGGTTAATTTTAAACACCATCTTCTACTTTTATAGCTGATAAAGAGCTTTGGTTCACACAGAGCTGAAGATATCTTGCCCCCGGCCTCTTCCTTAATTCTTTTTCATTAGGACAAAATGTAAAGCCTCACTTTGCCTTCCAGTCTCCTCTAACTCTCCACTCCTATTTGATACTGGCGCCATGCTGAACCGATTTAATTCCAGATCAAATCCCACCCTGCTCTACGGGAGTGCTGCTACATGTCATGTAACACTTTGAGGACCTGCTCTCTTCCTGGCCTGCAAAGTCTACAAGTTCCTTCCCCAGAGCCTCAGCCAAGCCCCATCCTCTGCTGTGACATGTGCTCTGCCTTTGCCCCCAGCTCTGGGGACTCTTCTGCAATAAAGCAATCACTTCACCACACTCTTCTCAGTGTGGGGCTCACCTTCTCACTGGGTGACACTCCCCTCAAGGTCTTTTCCACCTCTATAACCTACATCTCAGAGGCCTAGCACGAGGTTTACCTCCTGATAGGGGCACTAACATTTCTTAAAGTAAATAAAGCCCATTAGCATTTTATCTCTGAAAAGGTCTAAACAGCAGAAAAATCACACTTGTTTTCTCAGAAGAAGGAACATATTCAAATACCAAGAACTGCAGTTCCTGGTAAGACCTTTCAGAAAATGGTATAACCAACATCAGCAACTGGAAACTCAGCAGACTGTTTGAGTGCAAAAAAGAGAGAGAGAGAGAGAGAGAGAGAGAGAGAGAGAGAAAGAGAGTGAAATGTGCCAAGATTTGAACAGTCGTGCTGTAAGCATTCTAGGGGGTAAGGGGAAAGTGGAGGAGATTTCTAAACCTTAATAACCACAAGCAAACTTTTCTTAAGTGTCATACATATTTACATTGTGGACCTGGGATATACTTACCACAGCAAGAGGTATTCAAATCTACTTGGATTCCAACTCCATCCAAAACAGGCCCACCCCCCAAAAGTCTGAGCCAACATTCTAGACAGGAAGGAGTCAAGCTGGTTTTGGCAGTGTGGGTTTGGAAAGCACACTCTGAAATAAGGTCACTTATCATTACTGTCCTCTTCCCCACTCTTTCATGGGTTGTCCACTTTAGTTGTCCATGCCGCTCTCAGGACTGCGGGAAGGACTCCTCATCTTGGGAGTAGACAGATGCTCCAGCTCATAGTGCCCATTCTCAGAAGCCTTGTGTGTGAGTTTCTCCTTCATGTCCTCCTGGCTCCTCTTGTGCTCAATAATCTGTTGGAGCTGGTGCCCAGCATATTCTGGCTTGGTGGTAAGTGGACCAGATGGTACAACTACACCTAAAATATCTGACACCATGTAGGGGCGCAGCCAGCCCACCAAGGGAGTACTCCCAGGGCTATAGTGAGTCTGTTTATGGTAGAAGAGAAGTCCATCTACCTACAGGAAGAGAAATGAGGAATCATAATGACTCTGGGCCACATATGTCCAAGACAGCCATACAGAGGTAGCTCTTGTGGGTCCTTACCCATTTATTTGGGAGGGCGGGGAAGCAAGGTCTCTCTATTATGTAGCCTGTCTATCCTGCTATGTAGACCAGGCTGGCCTTGAACTAAGAGATCCACCAGCCTTTGTCTTTTGAATGATGGGATTAAAGGAGTGTGCAACCATGCCCAGCCAATTTTTCCTTTTTTATTCTAAGCCAATGCCAGTAGAAAAAGACTCCTTGCATTTTATATTCAGTTTATTCAAATAAAGAAATGGCTGGGACTAGAAATGGTGGTATACACCTCTAATTCCAGGACCCTGCATGCTGAAGCAGGAAGGATCTCAAGATCAATCAGACCGAGCTACATAACGAAAACTTACCCAAAAGAAGGGTTGGGAGAAGAGAAGATCTAATAATGAAAATATAAAATAACACTGTTCTGTTTGCAGAATGCTTTCCTACTTATTGTTTTACTTTCCCACCCACCCAGAGGTATTTGAAAGATGGGGTTTCTCACCATAGAAAGGTGTAGGCACCTCCATAAAAATGAAAGCATGAAGCAAAAATTCAACCTGAGTCCATGTTTTCTGTGCCCACATTCTGAACACTTCTATTACCCAAAAGTCTCAGTAGTAAAGCTAAGCTCATCATATGGATGAAAACAAGAGATCCAGGCATCGCCACCAAGGCACCAGACTGAGCCCAGGAACAGTCTTGTTCAAAGGCCCTGCTTCCCACGCTACTATTGCTGCCTAAACAGACCCCACCCCTTGACTGTTCAGAGCCATATTCTAGGAAACTCAGTTTTTCTAAACGGGAAAACCTCCTACGGCCCCATACTTTCTCTTCTGTGATTCACTGACTCACCCCTAAAAGCATTTCTTGCCACTGGGATATAAGGGTTATAAATAAAGATGGTGTTCTTACCACCTTCTTAATTGACTCCCAGAAATGAAGCCACTTAATCTTTGTCATTTCCTTATCCAGGAAGTTGTTATCCTTTACAAAATTAAATACACTTCAAGCAAAAACTTGACTGTGACAGGGCAGAATTTTAAAAGCGATGCTGGGCAAAGAAAACTCTGCTTGTTAAGCCAAGATAGTGACTGTAGGTTCTGAGGATAAAAGACTACCCCAGACTCAGGATTTCCTGGAGACAGAAGATTTTCAATGCCAACATGTGGCAAGTATGGCCAGAATAAGTGGATTGGCCCTACCATCACGCCACTGAGCAGTAAACATGGTTATCCCAGGAACCCTTTGTGCTTTGACCAAGAGAGAATTAGAGGCGCAAACGTGTGTTGGGGTCAGTTGGCCACAAACGCCCATGGGCCTCACTCACAGCCAGGCCCGCAGGCAGCGAGGGGCCTGGTTCTCGTGCTTACGGCACCAAGGCACCCAGTGATGACCCAGGATAAAGAAACTCTTGGCTCTTCTGGGGCTTCAGATTTTCAGGGGTGCTGGGGACTATTCCATTCTGGTGTTCTGACTTATTTAGTAGGAGTGAAGTATGAAAGGCAGTAATGATATTTCCTTAGAATTAATTTTCAGCCCTGTTTTGATACTTAGACACAGAAAAATCAAAGGATTTCTTAAGTCACCTTGGATTATATAATCATTCAGAACAATAGACAATGGTTTCATTACCTCAAAAGGAAAATCCATAGACAGCACCTTATACAGGCTTTCAGGGGTACATGGGAAATTCTCTAGCCCCACAAACTTAAACTGAAATATAAATTAGAACAAAGAGTTAGTACATACATGTTCAAATGATATCAGCTCTAGTGATTGAAAAGCTTTATCAAGTTTTCCTTCCCAGCACTCAGGACACTGAAGCAGGAAAATAACCATGAATTTCACGTGCCAAGGTCAACCTAAGCTCTCAATCCTGTCTTCATAAAAGAGGGAGGGAATAGAAAGAAATTCAGATGCTTGGACCATTTCCACCACTCTGAAAAGTCCAGACGTGTATGTCTCACTAAGTCCCAGGTACTAGTTACAGGTATAGGCTAGTCTGGTTTCATAGCAAGCTCTAAGCCAGCCTGGACTACAAAGTGAGACCCTACCTCAAAAAAAAAAAAAAAAAAAAGCTAACAGGGTACTGTGTAATAATTTCCTCAAAGGCTAGAGAGATGGCTCAGCGGTTAAGAACACTGACTGTTCTTCCAGAGGACCTGAGTTCAATTCTCAGCAACCACATGGTGTCTCACAACTATCTGTAATGGGATCTAACTTTCTGTTCTGATGTGTGTGAAGACAGAGCACTCATATATATATATGTGTGTGTATATATATGTATATATATATATACACACACATATATATATGAATGTATTATATATACATATGAATGAAATAAACATTAAAAAAAATAGTTTCCTCAAGATTGAGACATTCCATCCTGCATGGAAGCTCCTGAAGCAGGAAAGTAAATAACTAAATAGTTTCAGGAAGTCCCTAAGTTGACCAGATTTACTAACCTTGCCCTGCCAGAGTAAACAATAAAAGCTGAACAGCCCTCTCATCCCTCTAACAAAGCTGCAAAGAAGGCTCACACACCAGACAGCTGCCTGAAAGAAGCAGAAACCAGCCACACTGCCTGGAATGGGTTTAGACCAAGTCACTTGGAAAGGACACTCTCCAACCTGTTGAGCCCCCTGCAGGTATCAGCTTTTGTGAGCGGCACCCCTAGGCTTTGGTGATGCAGCTGTCTTTCATTCGTTTTTGCTGCTGTAAGCACGCCTCAGCATATTCCTCTAAGTGACTCCAATGGAACCCACTGTTCACCATGTTGGACTTTAGTGTTATCGTACTTTGATCTATCATGGATTCCATAGCTGGGATGAGTAGATGTGTGTTGTATCTCCCCAAGAAAAGTCTTGTCGCAGAACAAAGGTACAGCTCAGTGGTAGAATGTTCGTTGAGCATGCCTGAGACTCTGGATTCAATTACTACACCACACAGCCTTTTATAGCAAGCATCATTTCCTAAGTGTCCCACCACAAGGATTAAGCTATGATCTTACAGTAACTATGATCTAACTATGGTCTTATAGTAACTCTTGATATTATCCTTTATTTTTAAAGTTGGGATCTCACGCTATTACTATTGTCCAGGCTAATGCCTAACTCCTTCTCAGACATGTATATCTTACCTCTCCTAGCTTATTAATGCCATTTGCAAGTGAGGCTATTATTCTAATAATTACATTATTATTTTTAATGATGCTAGGGATTAAACCTAGGACTTTACACGTGCTAGACAAGTCCTGTACAGAGTCACACCTCTGCCCTTACACTAGTAGTAGTAGCCCTTACACAAACAGAATTCAAGTCTGGATGACTATTAAACTCATAGTCTTTCCATTTTACTATTATAATATGCTGCCTCAAAGCATAAAGTCATCAATGAAGAGTGGTGGCTCTGGGGCTGGGGAGATGGTTCAGTGGCTAATAGCATTGGCTACTCTTCCAGAGGACCTGGCTTTGATTCCTAGCACCCACAAGGTGGCTCCCAGCCAGTTTAAGAAGACCTGATGCCTTCTTCTGGTCTCTGTGAGCACCAGGCACTCAAGCGGTACAGATATATAGGCAGGAAAAATACCTATATTCATAAAATCACAAAATAATTTTAGATCAGGCATGGTTGTATACATCTTTAGTTTTAGAACCCAGGAGTCAGAGGCAGGTGGATCTCTGTTTGAGACTGACTTGGTCTACATAGTGAAAAAAAGAAAGGAAGGAAGGAAGACAGGGAGGGAGGGAGGGGAAAAGGGAAGGGAAGGAATTGTGGTTCATGCCTATAATCCCAACATTTGGGAAGCTGAGGCAGAAAGACCAGGGTCTAAGACCATAACATAGCCAGCTCAAGGCCAGCTTGGGCCATATGAAACCTTGTCTCAACAACAAACAATAACAACAAAAAAGAACTCTAATTGTAACAACAGCCTTACAGGATTAATCTTAGTTTTCTCTCCAAGTCCTTCTTCTTCTGGTAACTTTGAATGCATCCAGTAGAATCGGAAATCAGTCTGCCACAGAGAAAGTTGAGTAAAAAAATAAAAGTTAGTATCCATCTCAAATTGTTACATGAATGAAGCATCTCATTCTAATAGCCACGTGACTTATAAAGACCTAAGTCCTGCTGTTGCTATGCCCCATTTCCATTTATAACCACACTTTATCAAATCTGTCAAGATTTTAAAGCTGTGTGGGTGTGTTTCAGAGGGTAAGATGGATTAGTGGCTAAAAATGCTTACCATACAAACCTGATTACCTAAATTAGAGTTTTAGATCCCACTTTGGAAGATGAAAACCTTGACCCAAAAGATACCCTGGCCTCAATGTGCTTACCTTCATTCATTCAAATACATCACACACACACGATAAATAAAAATTTAAAAGACATTTTCATTGTTTACAATATACAAAGCATTGTATTACATGAAAACATTTGCATACAAATATATGTTATAGAGATTTTTTTTTCTTTAAAATTTAATAAAGCTGTCAGACATCATGGCTCAAACCTGCACAAATCCCAGCATTTAGCAGGCAGAAGCAGATCGTCTTTTGACTACATAGTGAAATCAAGGCTATATAAGGCCTATCTTGACTCTACTCTCCTTCAAAACTAAAAACTTAGGATAGCTAAGTTTTCTCCTTGAAAAAATAAAAACTTAGGTATAGGGGCATACATTTGTAACCACAGGAATCAGAAGTCTGAGGCAGAAGGACCACAAGTTGGAAGTTATCCTAGACTATAAAGCAAGATCTTACACCTTGAACTTACAGAGATTTCACCTGTCTTTACCGCCTGATTGCTGGGATTAAAGGCATGCACCACCATATCCAGCTATATTTATTTTTTTAAAGACAGGGTTTCATTTTGCAGTCCCAGCTGGCCTCAAACTCATAAATATCTACTTGCCTCCCTGGGTGCTGAAATTAAAGGCATATGTCACTAGGACCAGCCAACACCTATAATCTAATTAATTACTCTTCCAACCTCTAATATAGGGTGTGCCTGTTTCAAACAATGACAACACCACAGCCTTCACTCAAATATAGTGGGTTATCCCTGAAATTTCCACATTTGGAAAGCTAGAGCAGGACTGCCCATAAGATTAGGCCAACCTGGACTATATAGTTAGTTCCAGGCCAGCCTGAGCTACAGAATGAGACTCTGGGTTATTTTTTGTGGTGGTGGTGGGGGTTGTTGTTGTTTTGTTTGTTTGTTTGTTTTAGGGTTTTTGAAGACAGGGTTTTCCTGTATGTAGCCCTGGGTATTCTGGAACTCTTGGTATAGACCAGGCTGGTCTTAAACTTAAAAGATCTGTCTGCCTCTGCCTCCCAAGTACTAGGATTAAAAGCATGCACCACCACTGCCTAGCTGAGACTCTGCCCAAAAATAAATAAATAGATAGATAGATAGATAGATAGATGGATGGATGGATGGATAGATAGATAGATAGATAGATAGATAGATAGATAGATAGATAGATGAAGTGGGTTAATAAATAAATATTTGGACAGTTGTGTCACATATTTTTCGTCCCAGCACTCAGGAGGCAGAGGCAAGTGAATCTCTTTGAGTTTGAGGCCAGCTTGATCTACAGAGTGAGTTTCTAGGACAGGCAGGGCTACACAGAGAAACCCTGTCTCAAACAACAACAAACACACAAACAAATAAATAAATATATGACAAAATAAGTAACTTCAACCCCCTATAGGAACTATATTATCATTATTGCTATTTTAAATGTTGAAGACACTTAGAATTAGAAAGGTGAAGTCACTTGCCTGGGTGAACAAAGAAAATACTGTGAGACCTAGGAATCCTCCATTCCAAAGCACACTGCACTATTTCCCTTGCTTCACTTTGATCTGGCTATTAAAAAACACTCCACAGCTGACTCTTTCCCTAAGTACTGATTATTTGAATTATTTATGTGCAGCCTTCTACAGCTATGAGACACTCCTTGTTGTTTTACTTTGCTTCTGGAAATTTGAAATAATAAAAGCAGTTTTCTTTTTCTTTTCTTCTTTGTTTTTGTTGAGTCAAGGTTTCATGTAGCTCAGCCTGGCCTCAAATTTGCTATATATATATGAGAATGGCCTTGAACTTCTGATCCTCTATGGAAGCTATAGGAATTAAGCGGTTTATAAGGTGCTGGGGAATGAACTCTGAGCTTTGTGTGCAGTAGGCAAGCATTCTCCCAACTGAGCTGCATCCTCAGCCCCTTGATTTGCTTTGCCTAGACAGGAAAAGTCTTGCCATGTAGCTCAGGCTTGAGATTCATGGCATTCCTCCAGCATCAGCCTGTAACAAAGGTACCGCGGGCATGAGCTACCACTGAGCTGGCCTTTTCCTTATAGTACAGCTACACATGTGCTTTTAATTAACAGATCTGTAAGTTGTGAGAATATGTGCTGAATATCCTTTAAAAAAGCTAAAAGGAAACATGTCAGGAAAAATCTGTAATCCCAACCTCTTAGGGAGATTGAGACAGGAGGAGGATCATGGGTTTGAGGCTAGCCTGGGATACATAGTGACTCCTTGTCTCAAAGCAAAGCTAGGTGTAGGCTACTTAACAAGTTCCAGGCCACCCAAGATTCTCTCTTAAACAAGCAAACAGAATCATCACTACCTGGCATTTCCAGAAATCCAACATAGGGTTATAACTATAGAAAGAAGCAGCCTAGCAAACTATCCAGGTTTGGTGGTACAGGAGGCAGAGGCAGGTGCAGCCAGCTAGGGCTACAGAGTGAGATCTTGTCTCAAAAAATGGAAGGAAGGAAGGAAGGAAGGAAGGAAGGAA